CAATGGGAGGAGCCAGAGGACAGGAAAGAGGGGAGGAGCCAGAAGGCAGGAAAGGAGTGGGAGGAGAGAGAGGAGGAGAGCAGAGCTGGAGGAGAGATCTTGGAGGATGTGGAGCATGAACCAGACCTAAGATTTCACAAAAAGCAAGTATAATGTGGGAAATTTAAATGTTAGGAAACTGAGGGCTTGGAGGTTTCGGAGGGAGTAAATATTGCCCAGCACTGTGTTCTAGGTTAACTAAAAACCCAGTCTCTGTGTGGTGATTTGGTTTTACAGCTGCTGAGGATTAACAGCAGCATTACTAGAAGATAAACCAATAGTGAATTTTAACCGCTTACAACACTGGTCTACACTGTGAGTTCCCGGCCAGCCAGGAATACCAATGAGATCCTGTGTCAAAAACACAAAAAGATGTTGTAGGGGCTGTTCCCCATTGTCCTCATAGTCATGTGTGTTGTCAGGAGGTTTCTAAATTGCCACCACCTTCCTAGAAGAACTTGAAGATGTTCCTCTATCACTCTCCTTCTGTACATACAGGAAAGCCAGCTGGAGGTTCAAAGCAAGATAAAAACCATCATTATAAAATGTAATCAGACTATTTGTCATAATTGTCCACCAAGTAGATACATCAGAACAGGTGGAAAGATTGCTTGCCCCTATGACATAGAGGCACTCTGTGATTTTGCTGGGGCTATAAAACAAGATAATTCATGTTCCTTCAAATTTATTTTAGAGAGTTCCCCTCAAAGAGTAGTGGGTTTGGTGTCCTATTTATAAGTGGTTTACCAAGAGCCACAATGGGCCTACAGATGGAGCTTGGCTGGCAGAATGCTTCCCAAGTGTGCACAGGCTCTGTCCAAGATGTTAATGAGATATTTTACCTTCCTAAACAAACTGTTACAGCTCCAGCTTTGAATTTTTCCTCAAGTTTACCATGGATAATAACTTTTCATGTCATTAAAAGATGACAATGACTACATAAGAGAAGGGAAACTAATCTCCCTGACAGCGTCACCTACAGTTAACACAGCGTGGGCTGTCTGTCTGTCCTGCTGTCTTGAAGGTTGCCTCTGCTAATCTACAGATATTCTCTGCCTGGCACACTACTTTTTTTTTTTTTAAAGCGGTAATCATCGATCCCAAAATAGCACCACCAGTATCTTGGGATTGCTTCAGTATCACACCCAAAATTAATTCACCAAGACCGTCTTCCATTGGAAACCAGCACAATCCTAACCAGTTGAGTAGGAATCCTTGATATTCCAAAGAGAGCTCACTGAAAGCTAGGGATACTGAGGTCAGCTCTATTCACCCGTACACCAGAAAAATCACTGGCTAAAGGAGCACTGACAAGGTCACTCTTTACCTCTGAAATGCATTCAAAAAGACACGGTAAGAGTTCTGCAAAGCAACCTCTGACACGTTCTTATAGGTCTCTAACTAAAACACACATTCTAAACTTCATTTACTTTCTTGTACTATCATTATGTCCTTCTAGTTATATACTTTAACAGATGCTTAAATCGTTGATATAAGCTTTACATAACTGACTTAAAAATCCCTCTACTGTAGACGTTATTTCTAACCTTTCTCTATGATTGCCAGCGTTTCCATGAGCATCTTCATGCACGAAGAACTTCCTTTTCAAGGTGATTCATGATAATATCAGCAACAAAGGCATCTTTGTTAAAGAACACACTTTCAAGTGTTATTTAGATTTCTGTGTTTCACTTCACACATATGAGTAATTTGTCTGCGTCTATGTTTGTGCTCCATGTTTATGGCCGGTGTCCATGGAGGTCAAAAGAGGACATCAGGTCCCCTGGAACTGGAGTTACAGGGTAACTGTGAGTCTCCATGCATACTAGGAGCTGGACCAGAATCCTCTGCAAAAGCAACAAGTGCTCTTAACCGCTGAGCTATCTCTCCAGCCTCAATAATACACTTTTTTTGTAGTAGTATTTTTCAGTGCTGGCTACATGCTTGACAACCCAAAGGGCTGTTCCATTCTTCAAGCCACTATTTACAATCTTGGCCGTCCTTACACCAGGAATTGACCTAACAAATGTTGCTCTCAGATACCATGATTGGCACTAGAGATCGAACCCATTGTAGCACCAGCCCTACACCAAACAATCAGTTCCCTAAGGTGACAGCAACCTTCCAAGGAAACTGAATGTGGATGCTTATTGCCCCAGCGCTTCTGTAGCAAAGAAACAGAACGCAAGCAACCGCCAAGGGAGAGGTGTCCAAGGTACCACAAATGGAACCGACATATGAAGGTTTATTCGTGGTCAGGTGTGGTTACACATCTCAATCCTGATGCTAAAGAGACTCAGGCAAGAGCTCAAGTTTGAGGCTAGCCTGGCCTACACAGTGAAGCCCTGCATCATCATGAACAAAGTTTCATTACTTTCATTCTATAGGATGATATATATATTGAACTGTCTACATAGCACAACTACTTTACAATCAAAACAACTTTTAAAATAAAAAATAAAGTACTTGAAGTGACTCGCATCCCACACATAAGTAGGAAAGGCGACTATTACCACACCCCTCTCTCGTTTACTTTCTTATCCACCTAAAGAACAATGGAAGTTGGTGAGTACAGCCCAGGATAGTTCATTTTAGGCTCAACTTGCTTGGATCACAGGGTACCTTAGAGGCCACTGGCATACTGTTTCATTACTGCCCAGGAGGGAGTTTCCAGGGGAAAGCAGCCTGCCAGTCAGCCTGCAGGAGACGGGAAGTGCAGACAGGCACTAAATGGGCAGAGGCCCCACCTTTTATGTACGTTTTCAGTTCTCTGTGGTCAACCACATTTTAAAAGTAGTCGATAGAAAATACCACCACCATCCCTGGTGGTACAGACATGTAGTTCTGGGGGACTGAGGACTATGAATTCTAGCAGCCCTTTGCCAACGTAGCCACACTACACAGAGACCTCCCGGCAGCCACTCAGTGACCATATCAGCTATAAGAACTGACTGTCATGGCGTCACAGTGCACACATTTAAATAATTCATACTTTTACCTAACAATGCCCCCAAGGTGCATAGTAATGATGATACATTTGACATACCAAAGATAAGGCAGAGCTTGCTTCTTGAGTGAACACACACAGGGAGAAAACAACATACATAGTGATAAGCATTATCTGTGGTTTCAGGCATTTAATGGGAGGCCTTGTTACATCTCCTCCACAGAGAAGAGAGAGACTACTGTAATTTGTTTTTTATAGATTAAGACTTCTAATCTATAGAGAATGCAATCTGATTTCAAGATTATACACCATTGATTACCAACAGAGGTCTAAGCCACCAGTCCCTGGCATGTAATAGCTACCAAATTTTATGAAATGTTTACGGTTTGCAACAGAAGCTTGCCATATATAGAAATGAATGTGAGTGAATTCGGGTTGGCTGGTGGGAGGGAAGAGACTGAGAGTAAGACAGGTTCCTAGACGCAGAGACTGGACTCCAAAACTCAAGGATGTGACCTCATTGTCTTGTATCCTCTTCCTCCGGGGCGAGGAAGACAGTTCTGAGCAGCTAATGTCAAGAATTCATACAGGAACAGTCTGAGAGGTCAAAATCTGCATCCTGTAGCATTTAGACATCTAGGTGTCACTGGGTGATCCCATTGTATGCTAATATTGTGAAGACAAAGCAACATTCTGAAAGAGGGGAATTACCTTTACCACTGATTTGTCACTCTGGGATTAAGTTCTGAAAGAGGGGAATTACCTTTACCACTGATTTGTCACTCTGGGATTAAGTGTGAAACCACTTGGAAGAAGGCAATCCATTGAAAGCAGAACAAGAAAGATAATGAGTGAGAAGTCAGCAGTCAGTCAACATGATATGCAGGTCATCAATCAAGACTGCAAAAACTATCACAATAATCGCTTTTCCTAGAGTGGTATGTAATCATGCCTTATGTTGATATTAGTGAGTGTTTCACATAGCAAGATGTCTTTTTGAGGACACCTTTAACAACAGTTTGTAGGAAGCTCACAAGCACAGGAGGAATTACCCAAACCCATGTTTTAAAGAACAAAAAAAAACGATTCTGAGAACAGAACATGCTAAACTTGGCGCATGGGTGGGAGATGGAGGAGGTGAGGGGTTCTACTTATTAACGAGCAGCAGACGAGCCTTAACAAGAGCAAAGGGAATGCAAAGCAGGCAGTGGACACCCATCTGTACGTTCCTGTCAGAAATTGTGATAAAACAGAGGCCAGCAGATGACTTAATTTGCATAAGGAACCCCTAGGCTGAAATGTAAATATGAAGAAAAGGTGAGCGTGTGCTTGTGTGCATGCGTGCGTGCATGCATGCATGCGTGTATACCTATGTATGTGTGTGGGTGGGGGTAAAATCACCCAATGCTGAAGGAAGTTAAAACACACTTTTCCTAGCTTGTCACTGTAGCCCACCCATATAGGGAGAAGTACAGGGAGGGGAAGGGTCCCATGGATCCTTTTTCATCCAGGCCATGGTACCCTTGTTCCAGGACCTGAGTAGAGATGATTGCTGAAAGCGCAAGACTGTCTTTTGGAATCATTGAAAAACCTACAAAAAATAGAGCCCAAAAGCATCCCTCAGCCTGGGCTTGAGCAGCAGCTGAACAGAGGCTAGCATCCTCAGAAGCCCTGAGAGCTAGGTGCAGGAAGCAGAAACCATAAGCAAGAAAGCAGCACAACTGACCTCTGGCACCATCTAGAGGCTTCTCCAGGGACAAATCGGAAAAAAAAAAAAAAAAGCTACAGCAGTTGGGGTCAGTGTGCCCACAACAGCCACTCAGCAAAGGAGGCTGTAACAGGCTCCTAGGAACACTTGGATCTTCAGCACTCTTGGTTTAGAACTGAATTGACCTGGAGTCCCAGGAACAAGAAGGTTAGGGTGCCAAAAACATAAAATGTCATTAACACCCCCAACCATGCTGAAGACTGGTGAGTCCTAGAAAATATGACCAGGATACAAATGAGCTCTCACCTTCTTCCAGAGCATCGGTGCTTTTGAGAGCTTCATAAAGGTCAAGTGAGGCTTAAAACTTCTGCTTTCCCCAGCCAGGATGCCTTTCTCTTGAAATGTTCTCTTCGCAGTCTCTGAAGAAAATAAAAATAACGCAAAAATGCTACTGTAACACATACTTATCTTTGTTTATTAACAGGCTGATTCAAGAGATGACTGATTCCATTACAAGGAAGATCATATATGGTTTCCAATTTGTGTTTTTATGGTTTCTGTGTGTGTGTGTGTCTATGTGTGTGTTTCTCGTGCCTTTTTCTTTGTTTTCATTTTGTTTTATTTGCCTGTTTGTTTCTGAGAGAGAAGGCATGGAGTTAGAAGGGTGAGGAGGATCTGGGAGGAGATTAAAGAGGGCAATCAGGATCAGAATATAATGTGTGAAAAAAATTATTTTCAATTAAAAAACATGAAAAAAAGAAGATAGCTCTATAGTATTTCTTAGAGAAAGTAATACAGTGGGTGTGATAACAAATACGACAGTTACACTTCCAATGACTGCAAACACACAAAACAGACCACCGAACACTGATATGAAGGGAGCCTCTCACACAAATCAAGCCTGTGTTTGCAGACGTGACGCTGCCTCTCAGCAGCCATCTCGGTGATTTCCTTATGCTGTAAGAAAAGACCTGTTGCTCTGCTGCCATCTTTCAAATCTAAAATTTCTCAGCAAGATAAAGTGAAAAACCTTTCCTAAGAAAATAGGAAGCAGGGCTTCGCCTGGTGGGTAAAATGACTTGTTCTGTGAGCATGAAGACCTGAGTTCACTTCCGAACTCAGGTAATAGGCTGGGTGTGGCTGCACATGCCTGGAACCCATGCACTGTGGAGCAGAGGTTCCTCAGAACCTGCCGGCCATCCAGGCAAGCTGAAACAGTCTATAGTGAGAGACCCTGATGCAAGGCAATAGAATGGAGAGTGGTATAGAGAGACCCCAGACATCCTGCTCTGGCCTCACATGTGTGCAAGCCACATAGTCATGTATAACACACACATACAAACGCACACACTACCTGAGCCTTCTGATTGCTCCAGTTTTAAACCTCAGGTGTCCAGGAGGAGAACACCAGACAGAAACTTTCCAGGGTGAGCAAACAAAACCAAAAGGAGAGACCAAGACAGCCAGAATTCAGAGAGCAGAGCGTTTAAGTGTGAGACCCAGTGTGAGGCCAGGCTCCAGGGACCTGCGATGCGTTCCCCAGAATAGTCAGTGTTCAAGGAAGGTACCTGGGGCTGGGGAAGCAGGCATTCCAAAGGATCGGAGGGAGCAGCGTCAGTGTGTACAAGAACCAGAAATGCTGTCAACAGCCACATGGGCAAATCTCCAGGGGGACTTATAAGACATGAAAGTAGAAAGGGGATCATGAAAGGGTGAACAAGGCAGGGTAATGACATATATGTGTCTTGAAGGCAGAAGGGAAACTGTTAGAAGGAAGAGGTGCACTACCTAGAGAGAGGGAGGAGGAGGACAGAGGTGGTGGAGATACCATGACACGGATCTGGCCGCTAACTGTGAAGACAAAACTACACAGCATCTTGAACCAGCAGCTCCACTTTAATAACACAAACACACCAAAAAGAGAAGAAGAAAATGGTACAGAAAAGTCTATGTAAAAAAAATGTCAAAACAACATTCTAAATTTTCACAGGCTGGATAGAACCTCCACCAATAAAAGTATGGCTGATAAATGACCGCGCAGCCATACTGAAAGACCATTACACAGCTGACAAAAAGAATGCGAGCTTCACACAGTGACCTTGTAGAAGCTTAACACTGCTGTCAGTGCACGAGGCACATGCTTAGAACGTGCAAATGGGGAACTGGAGCTATTTTTCACATATGTGAAAAATACATGCTCTTGAATGTCTGTTAATAATACCTCTTCAGTGTCTCTTTATCCAAGAGCAGGTTGAGGGAGGGTTAATACAATTACATAAACATAAAGGATAAAAGCAAAACACGAAAAGCAGAGCAGGATGATGGTAGGGCTGAAGAGATGGCTCAGAGGATAAGAGCACTGTCTGCTCTTCCAGAGGTCTTGAGTTCAAATCCCAGGAATTACATGGTGGCTCACAACCATCACATAATGATATCTGGTGCCCTCTTCTGTCATGCAGGTATACACACAGGCAGAACACTGTCTACATAATAAATTATTAAAAAGAAGAAGAAGAAGAAGAAAGAAAGAAAGAAAGATAGATAGATAGATGGATGTTGGGCCAGCAAGATGTTACCATGCCTGCAGAGACCTGGCCACTGCAAACTCTCCACATATGTGCTGTGACAAGGCCATGTAAGCACGCACGCACACGCACGCGAACACGCACGCGAACACGCACACACACAGAGCTGTAAAAACAAACAATGAAGGATGTTTTCTATGCAACAATGGAGCCAATGGTTTGCTTCAGTTGTAGATGCCAATTTGGCTGGAGACCAGAAGTTGCTAATGATACATATAATATGCTAAACTATCTGGATGAAAACAGAGTTGAGGGTAGCTTCAAATGTGTCTTCCTTAGTGTAAGACTTCAGATTTTTGTCCAGAGAACTTAAAATAAAACAGATGCATGAAAGCATATAATCTTTCCTGAGAAAATAAAGGATTTTGCCATAAAAATAGGCCCAAGTGAAAAATAATAAAAGAATATGGCTATAATTCAGAGATAATAGCAGAGTTTCAAAACAGAAAACACCTTACCACAAAATCACAAAAACACATGTACTAGCGCCAAAATTCTAAGTGCTGGGCCCTGGAGTCTTTGAATTTTATTGTAATCCCAGTGGGGAAACTGGGGGTTAGGGGGCTCAGGATGAACAATTTCATCTTTACTCATCTATATTTTGACTAGAGTGAGCATTCTGAAACTCCAGACAACTGCAATGACCCTTCTCGCCTAGACTATATTTTTCTCGTAGAATGACAATATGATGGGTAGGGGTCTTCAGTCACCATGTGGCATCTGTTGGGACCTATGCCATGCCTGTTTCTACAGCTAGGTCCTCCCTTATTCCCCCACACAAGGGCTCTCTGCAGCATCTGCCCTTCCTCGCACAGCAGAGCAAGCAGCTACAGGCCTGTCTGAGGTCCTTCACTGCCTTCCTGCAACTCTTGAACACAGGGAAAGTAAAGTGTTGTTGACTCAGAGAGCAGGGACAGAACACCCTGGGGCCACCTGGAGGAGGAATGGCATCACACTTTCTTTTCCCGTCTGCTGGCAGCGTCCAGTGCAGGGCAATCTGGCTTTGCTGCCTCGGACATCAGAGGCTCCAGCCTCTTCCTGGCATTCTGCTGTTTTCATCACAAGATGATGGCAGGGAGGAGCCACGCCTTTACTTGGCCTCTAACTAAATCTACAACTGTATCTTGGCTAACATCAGGTGCAGAAAAAAATTCATCGACTGCATCTCTGGAAACCACTTTTCTCTACTGCTTTCACATGAGGGAGTGGGGGAGCGACAGGAGACAGGAGGAGAAACCTCACGCTGCCCAGCTGTGTGTGAAACCCTTCATGTGGCTGTTTGCTTTTTAAATGCTTACTAAATGCTGATGTACGCTGCAATGCGTATTCTGAAAATGTTATGTGGATTTGGGACATGTCTAAAAACCTTCTGTTAGTCATTGGCATTAAATGGCTTTTCTTCCCTCTTCTACAGTAATAAAAAGGTTTGCAACAAAACGCTGAAAGGCTGGGACAACTGTGTGTTAGCTGAGCATAGACTGCAACTCTGGGTGACTGGAGTAGGAGAGGCTAAGTAATCAAGAGGTGCCCCGACTTCTCTGGCACATAAGACATCAAAAACCTCTTCTCCGGACCACTGGGGGCCACAGCTGTCCTCCCTGAAGCCAGGTATCTAACCAGGCATGAGGTTTAGGGCAGGCAGAGCAGACAGCATCATGATGCAATCAACGTATATTCATTACAGTTATGATCCTTTACCTAACTGCACTTTGGTCCTTTCTATATTGATACATTCTCAGCTGTTAGAAGACTAATTGGAGTTTGAAGTATTAGGCTAAATTACACAAAAGTGTTTTGTTTTGTTTTCCTTAAGTCAAAACCACTTGAACACTGGCAAAGCCCCATGGCTTAACCATACCACGGTGGGCTAGTATACTAACTTCTTAAGATTTGACCCATGAGACTAGGCATGATTTGAAGATTGGGATTTCAGTCTTTAAATGTTTAAGAACTATCACCTAGAAGAATTGTCACCCAGGGAGCAGATCCAGCAGGGAGATGTGGGAAAACAGAGCCTCTCGCTGATTTTATTTCCTGAGCCCACAGGCACCGTGCCTCCTGAGGGCCACACACAGGGCTCCCCGTGCTGAGAGCTACCAGAAACTGCAGTGAACAAGGAGAACTCTAGCTAACCAAATCCACACGGAGGCAGGGGCACCTCAGCCACTCTCTGCCATCTGCCTTAGATGTTTACACGTTACCTTATTTGATACAACCACCGAAGACATCTAAAGAAACATTTTTAAACATTTCAGTTTCATCTGGTTTTCACATAATTTCTCTCACAACTCTCTGGGCCTAAAATCTTTGATGATATGTATTCACAACACTCTTAAATGTCACAGAGCACATTTTTAATTTTCATTGGAGTGTTCTCTCTACAGGTTGCATTTTGTAGGTGTACAGAAACGGGGTGGGGAACACGTTTGTTCTGAGAGTGTTTCTTTATGATTTTATTTCTAGTAGGAGCATAATCTATTGCTTAGCCTGGGTATGGCAGACATTACGCATACATCACTTTCGAAATAAAAATTTCTGCTAATGTGAAAATTATGTATCGATGTTCACTTTTATTCTGGAGGGGCGCTCATGAATAATTAAAGAGGCTGTCAATTCTCCTTAGCAAGACAGAAATTCCCTTTGAGCGCTAAATCGAAAATCACACAACAAATATATCAGGCGCCCTTCAGATGTCAACTCTGTGTGCTTCCTAAGTAATACAATTTATCTCAGAGATGAAGATGAAGAGAGTTGCCTGAAGAGCAATTCATTTAAAATATGCTTTATGGGGTGGCAAGATGTCTCAGTGGACCTGCAGGCGTTTTCACCAAGCG